TAGTTTACCTGGAGTCCGATCCAAACACTAGCTGATTCCAAGTCGTTGAAAATTGCCGATCACTTCACTAAGAACAAGTACTGTTGTTAATACTGCTAAGTTTGAATCAATAAAGCATGAGGATAAGCATGGTGGAAAGAGCCTAGTTGTCTTAAAAATCATTATGTAAAATCCTGTCTTATACTCAACCTCGAACACCGATCATTAGCACCAATGGAAAGTACGTGACTATTTTAACTCCATGGCAAGCCAGGTGATACTATCTTTATCTATGTTTTCCCCATTCGTCAGATCTCAATCTCCAGATCTCGTCTTTTTAATATTCAATGATATATTGAAAGCAAAAGGGTGAGAGAAAACTAGCGCATAAGCTCTGCCTAACGAGCTTGGATTAGCAGAAGAGGGTTTAGGAGAGTTAACAAAAAGACAACATTTATTATGAGTTACAAAATACAGAAAATTGTGGAGAGCCATGATTACCAACGATCTGAAATGACACGTTACATAGAAAAAGTATCACTGTGAGAAGAAGTCGTTGCTTTATTCGATTCTATCTTGTTGATCAGATGATTTAACAATGGTTGACATGATTACTGCCTTATTTGCGGCGCATGCGTAAACACTCGGCCTCGTTACATCATTTCCCGTGCCTTGATTTATAAGATGTCATGAATAATAGTTAGAGATTTAGTTTAGAAGACTCTTCTGTGTAGTAAGTTCGATTCATGCAGCGTTCTTGTGACTTGCTTAGCTTAGTAAATAATAGTTATTATTGCGAGACTAATTTCGACTCGGTTTTTGTTTTTGTATTTATATATGCATTTATTTTCGTAACACAGTTTTTTTTCAGCGCTTATTCTCTAAGAAGTTATAAACTGAAACGGCAAGGTTTGAGTTTCAGGAAACACATATATTTTGGCATCCAGTTATGCATAAATTAAATTCCGTTTTTTATTAAAACAGCATTTTTCAAGTCAACATTGCGATTAAAGTAATCACATTTTATCACGCTAGTGTAGACTTTGTTGAAATAATATCCTTCATGGGTTGACGCCGATTCATCAGTGATAAAACATGAAAATTGAAGATTTAAAAATTTGAAATATATATATATATATATATATATATATATATATATATATATATATATATATATATCAGCACAATAAGACTGTATTGTGTAATAAACTCCAAGTATATTATATATTAGAGTATATACTGTGGAATATATATATTTAGGCAGGATGTTTTCATTCAAGCATGTTTGGTTAAATAATTTAGACGTATTATGCATATTTATTCTAGTTTTAATCCTGTCAAGTCCACGAATTAATTTCTTGGAGGCTGTCGAAAAAAAGATCAAGAAAAATTCAAAAATTTTCTTTCAAATAAAAATCTTGAAAAAATTTAGGAATTTTTCTTGATCAATTTTCGACAGCCTCCAAGAAATTAATTCGTGGACTTGAAAGTATTGAAACTAAAATGAATATACATAATACGTCTCCCCCGCTCTCTCTCTCTCTCTCTATATATATATATATATATATATATATATATATATATATATATATATATTAAAAGAAGAGGGTGCCGCAAACGTTTTTGGTTGTAATGTGGATTTATTGAGAAAAATATTATACTTTGTTTTACATAATTTCACGACACGTGTTTCTGGTCTGGTCTCGCAACCGTCTTCAGGTGAAAGTGGAGATTTTACATATTATTAAAAATAATTAATTTTCTTCATGTTCAATGTGGAATATTCTCGATATGAGACATTCTGTTTGTGTGTTGGCAATCCGAATTTTCTTTCTAGAATTGTCAATGAAGAGTTCTGCGTGAAGGGTCATAAAACAATTAAGGTTTGTCCAGCGAGTAGTTATCGGCATTTAATCTTTTAATGTTTTAGTGACCTCTATGTGCTCTTGGATCTGTTTCTATTTTGGCGTGTTCCTGTCAGCATGCGTGTATATATGCGTGCGTATATTTCCTTACTACGAGGAATTCGTAAACTTATTTGTACTTATACACATACACACACATACGCACATACACACTATCCCACCACAAGTAGTCAGTACACACACACATATACACACATATTTCCCAAGCTACATGGAACCAGTACACACACACACACACACACACACACACACACACACACACACACACACACACACATGCTTCTTAAGTTGTCAACATCCGCATATACATACATAAATGTATGTATGTGTACATACATATATATATCTCCTCGTGTCTCCCGTATATGAGTGTGCGTCCATGTATGTGAGCGATCATTGTATTTCGTCACCCTGTGTGCATGTTTTTTTTTTTTTTTGTGGGGGGGGTTACGATAGACAAATTCAAACCCGAACTGAATAGATCGTACCGAATAGATGCTGACAGAAACACGCCAAAATAGAAACAGATCCAAGAGCACATAGAGGTCACTAAAACATTAAAAGATTAAATGCCGATAACTACTCGCTGGACAAACCTTAATTGTTTTATGAACCTTCACGCAGAACTCTTCATTGACAATTCTAGAAAGAAAATTCGGATTGCCAACACACAAACAGAATGTCTCATATCGAGAATATTCCACATTGAACATGAAGAAAAAAATTAATTATTTTTAATAATATGTAAAAATCTCCACTTTCACCTGAAGACGGTTTGCGAGACCAGACCAGAAACACGTGTCGTGAAATTATATAAAACAAAGTATAATATTTTTTCTCAATAAATCCACATTACAACCAAAAACGTTTGCGGCACCCTCTTTCTTTTTAATATACATACTTTTCTCTCGTTGGAACCACTACAACATATTTCTTTTATATATATATATATATATATATATATATATATATATATATATATATATATATATATATATATATATATATATATATATATATATATATATATATATATATATATAGGTAATAATCTGTGGGCAAGTAATCCAAGTATATTTAATAATATAAAATATTAAAAAGTGATCCAAAAAAGAACTCAGTATATTTATTATGGAGAATATAAATGAATTATATAAAATGAAAATGAAAAAATTGACTTTCATCCATATATATATATATATATATATATATATATATATATGTATCATACAATAGGAAATAAGAATACATATTGTTGATGATCCTTATCGCCTTGTAAATTGTGGAAATTTACAAAGATTTTCAAATAAGTCAAGGATGATAAATTATTGAAGTAAAAATGACAAGAAAAAAATGAAAGAAAAGTGGAAAAAAGAAAGAGAGAAAAAAAGAAAAGACAAGAAAGGAAGGGAATAAAAAAAAGAAAGTAGTGTAAGAATGGATATGAGTGGAGGTCAGAGGAGAATGAAAGAGAAAATGACCTATTTATTTGAATCACAGTAGCAATCTGAAGGTAGTTTAGACTTAAAGAAAATCTTCATAAATCTATTAACAAAATTAATATTATATTCAATAATAAGAGATAAAACCATTTATATGAAAGAGAGATAATCCAGAATTAAAGATCTATTAAAATAAACAATATATCAGAAAAAATATTTTAAAAATATTTTTTAAAATAATTAAAAAAATTTAAAATTAATATATTGAAATGATTCTTTGGAATAAGTATCTCATTTAATATCTACATTTAAATCAACATATTTTAAATTAAACATACATTAAATAATTCCCATCTACAAGGAAAAATTCATCATTTTATATATATAATATAATAAACCAGTCAAGTGGAAGATTAAATAAAAGTAAAAATCTACACTTAAAATTAGAAAATAAAGTGAATGAAGAAACGCTTTTAGAAAAAAAATAATAAGATAATAATATACAATAAATAATTAAATATAGGTATAATAATTTAATTAATAGTAAAAAAATTAAATAATATATTAAATATTACATAAAAAACCACATTCCCTGTATATATATATATATATATATATATATATATATATATTATATTTGTGTGTGTGTGTATGTGTGTGTGCGTAGCGTCTATTTCATGTATAAAAGCAATATCCAGGCCATTAATATTTACATACGCTCTATACCTGACACTACTCCATAAATATAACATACCTTAAGACCATACTTTTATCTTAGAATAGAATTTGATGTTAGATTAAAATCAATAAATGAAGCTATTTCATTATTCATTGGCGAGTAGAATGTGATTTGTTTCATATTCAGGAAGCGTTGAACATGAAAATAATGTAGAACAACCAGCAATGTTTGATATTTTAGAAATATTCAGTTGCAAAATAACTTAAATATCGGCGCCCTTTCTAGACAGTACAGTTTTAGAGAAGGTAGAAACCTCCATTATTGTAAGTGGGTGATAAGTCTTCGATAAAAAAAAAATCTCCGCCTTCATTGGGTTTGAACTTTCTCCGGCTTTTCTTTTGAACATTTTGAACTTATCAAATCAGACGATATTTGAACTCATCAAATCAGACGATATTTGAACTCATCAAATCAGACGATATTTGAACTCATCAAATCAGACAATATTTGAACTCCTCAAATCAGACGATATTTGAACTTATCAAATCAGACAATATTTGAACTCCTCAAATCAGACGATATTTGAACTCATCAAAGCAGACGATATTTGAACTCATCAAATCAGACGATATTTCGACATAAAATTTGAAGGATTTTCTCACTGAACTTAAACTAAAATCATGAAAGCACAGTTATGATATCCTGCATTTCTATTAACAATGAAAAAGATGTCTGCATTAGGATGTCACTCAGTTTTTATGATGGTTTGTTACTCAATTTCCACATCACATAAGTAACAAGAGTATTTTCTCATTTTGTGGGGAGGAAGAAATACTCTGTTCATTTCGACATATCCAGTCCCCTCACCCACCTTTCATATATTTTCCATCTGTCTTGCAATCGTCTTGAAATCGCTCTAGTGTCGTATGAATTCCCTAAATGTAAATCCTTTTAAACATCTATTCTTAAATGATAATGTCCCTAGATGAGATGTTTCGGGGAAATCGAGTTCAAGCCTGTTAGTAAGAATTTCTGTTTATCAAAATAAATTTCTCTTAAATAATCGATTTTTGTTTTATCTGTTTCAGTTACACAACCCGTGAAATCTTATCACCCAAAATACCGAGCCGGTAAGCAAGATTATTTCGATTTGGGGTTGCCTTATTTTCTCCGTCCTGATCATTCAACATCAAAGATTTCTGTGTATGTGTGTGTATATGAGTGTGTGCGTGTGTGTTTGTTTATGTATGTCCTTCTGTGTATGTTTATGTGTGCGCATGCGTTTGTGCATGTGTGCGCCTATGTATGTGTTTCTGTGTATTGTCTGTGTGCCTGTGTATGTATATATGTGCATGTGTGTGTGTCTGTGTGTATCTGTGTGTGTTTGTGTATGTCATTTCATTCATAAGCCATTTAAGTATTGCTAAAAAGCAGATCACTGTCGTCGAAATTGAAAATACGGTTGACCGTAAGCATCAGACTCATAGAAGCTGATCACTTTCTCTGGTGTACAAAAGAAAGAGACTTCCAGATGAGCGCGCTGAGACTTTACTGGCGAACTTCAAACAGCTTCCAAAAGACAAATATTTCCCTTGTGGCCTTCCGTTCCACCTGAATTAATTTACCAAATATTTTCGGTTATTGTTCACTTTCTCAGAACGAACCGAAACTTTGAATTAAACGATTTATTCTAAATACAATTTTGGTAACATTTGAAATTTAAAAATGTATTTATACTTTTTCAGTTACACCGTCGTACAGGAGACAGACAACAACTCATCCTGGTAATTACGATTTGAAGTTTTTCATTCTATTATATTTTCTTATCTGAAAAATGAGTATCAACGAACAGATGTTGGTAGCATTTTCAGGATATATATATATATATATATATATATATATATATATATATATATATATATATATATAAGAACGTATAAGTTTCCCATTATAATATCTATTCTTATTGAAATATTGACAGTGATATGTTTTGAGCTAGTCAGTTTTTCTTAAAAACAAAGTGGAAATTTTCATTTATAATCCAAATATGGAGTACTCCCCTATCGTGGACGATAAATAAGGGTCAGTGTTAGAAGGCGCCTTTCGTTTTACACTTATGCATTCTAGCAGGTGCTATACGCTAATATCAACTCCTTGACATTCAATAACGTTTGTCAGTGTTTCATTCATTGATTTTGATCATTTTTCTAGTGTTTCGACTTTAAAATTATTGGCACCAGTTTTTATTGCTTCCCAGAGATCTTTGCCTGGCAATTGTTCTCCTCCATTCTTTAAAGATATCTTTTAATGATAGACCACCCGATTTTTTGGATTAATATCTAGAGGACATAAGAACCTTTCCATTAGTTTGACCACTCGAAAAAAATGTGACAGAAGGTCAAATTTAAAATGAGAGTTGGCAGCTCTAAATAAATTGCTCGAGCCCCTCCGATACTTCCCAACAATACTCTCAGGAACGAGACCTTGAGGCTCCTGCCTAATATACAGGGTGTTCTCCACCTCCAAATTGACATCATTTTAAAAGCAATTATCTTGAAAACTACTAACTCTAGCTCAATGAAATTGAGCAGGTGTTGAACATCATAAGTTTATTATGGGACCGATTTCATAAATGTCCAATATATGCACCGCCTGTGACACGGCACACGTCAAGTCGGTAGTTAAGCTCTTGTCAAACACGCTGTAGCATGTCTGCGATAACATTATCCAGTGCGCAAGTGATTCACTGCTTGAGTCCATCAATGATAGCAGGAAGAGGATGGACATAGACCAGTTCTTTCACGTATCCTCATAAAATTTTGCATTGTAAGCACACTGCACCATCTTGGGTGACTGCATGCGAGCATATTTCAAGACGCAAAATGACTTCTCTTTGGGAGTGAACGGCATGGCTCTACTTGAAAACAGAACAAAAATAAAATATTAAACATAAAATCTTGATCTGTTTCTATACATTCTGTGAAAATTTGAGGTTATTTCAACAAGAATTGCCCAAATTATTGGCCTGCGAAATAATGTCAAATTTTGGGGGAACACCCTGTATTCATTTCAAACCATCCTGCTCAGTTGGTTTAGGTTAATCTGTCAGTTTTGTACTATGCGTGATATACGCTTAGGCGATTATGTTTCGATACATGACTGACGAGGCAGATTTTTTCCCGCAGTAGGTTACCATTTCTTTCCGTGGTAGACCAGTTGCCATCCAAGGCTATAGAACCCGGTCTGTCCTACTATTTACCCATTGCTGGGGGAGAAAAATAGGATTCATACCTTTCCCAAGGGCATTAGTACGTAAGTTAATGTCAGTGGAATTCGAAATCGGCTCTCCGAGTCCTAAATCCAAGCCGCTATCCATTACTCCACCATGCCTGCTAAAACTTTCAGAAGGATCGAACTCACGACTAGCACATTTGCTAACATAAATAATCGTTGGGCTGGGCCATCCAGTTGGAATTTATGTAAATAAGGTATAAGAAAGATATAGTCTGGAATTCACGTGGTATATTTGTATTTATTCAGCCCCCCCCCCACGAGGTTAGGTTGTGATACCAGGTCGGTTTAATGTGGAGAGCCCGAGCGCGTACACCCGGGCAAGGAACAAAAATTCCCCGAGCCCCCAAAACCGGTTGCGCTGGCCTCGGTGCGTGCACCGATCCTTCTCTCTAGTGCAATGAGAAGGCGCGGCCTCGGGCAGCTGTTCCCCAGGGCCAGGTACCTCTCAGTATAATTTTCCTTTGACGGAGTAGCCCCTGAGTGAACTCTGCCCAAAGACAGAGACGCAAATGAGAGATGATAAGTAAACGTGAACCTACTCAAAAAGAGTAATTAATTCACGTGGTATATTAACCATATAAATATAAGCATATTTGGAAGATTTTAAGAATATCGGTTTGGTAATGCCAATTCTACTGTGAAAAATGACTTGCTTCATAAAAGCTAACATTGTGGAAGAGTTAGATTAATTTCTTCTAGAGATTTTAAATTCTGCAGAAAAAATCGAACATTATGATATGAAGAAAATTTTGATGTCAATGTCGTGCTCTGATTTCTTGCAGTCAGTCTCGCTGAAACCAACAATTAAACTTAATATGTTTTTGTAGAATGTCGCTTGACCAACTACATTTCAGTCAACTGATTTTTCGACACGATAACAAACACAGGTTATGATTTACATCAAACAATTCGTATAAAACAGGGGGCTATATTTGCTGGCTAAACAATGCCATTGAATGAAATAAATGCATTGTTTTAAAATCGTTGAATGAAGAATAGTCTTTGTTTGTCTTCACAAACTGCAACTTTTGTTCGAGTGAAGGTCAACGGGAATAAAGGATCGGTAGTTAGAGTGACGTCAGTGGCATTTGCATTTAATGAGTCAAGTTAATGTCATTGTGAAACACAAAGGGTAGAAGACACTTGTAAATAGAATGTTTCGTTACATTATCAATCGGACAAGAAATTCGTCGGCGACAAACAAATAGGGAACTGTCCATCACGTAGGCATTTCTTTATAAACTTTCTTTATCAACACACACACACGCACACACACACACATATATATATATATGTGTGTGTGTGTGTGACGTCATACATAATGAAAAGTCCGACAATTATTTAAGACATTTTTTTTATGTTTATACGTTCTTTTTATAGATACAAATATTTAAGAAAATGCTCAGTTTATAATAAACAGTATTAACAACATTTACCGGCCTGAATGTCCGAGAAATTTTCATAGTAAATATGCGTCCTCCGACAGGAATCGAACCATTTCATAATGTATGACATCATTTGTTTACATTTGGATACGCATTGAGAAGATATGAATGAATTAGAGAAAATTCTGGAGAACTGTGTTTAAAAAAGCAGCAAAATAGATCTCTGTGGCCCAATCGGTTAAGGCACGTCAGGCTATATGACGGTTCCGCATAGGATACAGGTTATAATTTATTTCGTGAATATATATATATATATATATATATATATATATATATATATATATATATATATATATATACTAAGGTTCAAACTTAATACAAAGCGAAGCTCAGCGTGAGTCGCTCGCTATTTCTTTATAAGCGTCCTCAATGGTCAGATAAGACATAAACAGACTGAAATAGATAGATAGACAGACAGAGAGACTTCTATAAAAAAAATGTCAGCCGAATGTAAAATATTTTCGTCCTCAATGGTCTTTTGATATTGGATTCTGTTACATTTCGTGTTAATAAGAATTTATACTTTAAAAACAAGGTGAATAAAATAAGTAAAAGTTTATTGTAAAAAAAACAGTACAATAAGAATAAAGGTAACAGTTATGCACAAAGTCATATCGCAAGTGAACCCAGTAGTGAGTGCTACTGTTGGAAGTTCCCGCGTAAGTCTGAGTCGTACTCAACAGATCCCAGCTAGTAATATTTCCCAACCTCCCCACGGGGTAGGTTGTGGCACAAGGCCGAATTTAATGTGGGGCAATCCGGGCCCGTAGGCTCGGCCAAAAATTCCCCGTAAACTCCGCATAAACGGATTCGGGTCTGTCTACCCCCACGGGCGAGACTCTGCCCCTCGGCATAGCTTTGTCCGGGCTCCTTTTTGCCTGAAGGCAAAGGGTTCGACAACAGCTAAGATTTGAGTAACAGATCCCAGATAGTGAATATTTACTACCCCCCCCCCACGAAGTGGCACAAAGTCAAATTTAACGTGGGTTCTCCGAGCCCGTATGCTCGGTCAAAAATATTCCCTTTTTGAACCCTCATAAAGGGGTTCAGGGTCAGTCTACCTCCCCGAACGAGACTCTGCCCTTCGGCGGAGCCTCTCCCGGGTTCCTCTCTGCTTAGCGGCAGAGAGTTCGATTGTCTAGCTGGAACAGATCGCAGCTAGCCTTTGTAGTCCGTTGGCTTACAGCTACTTATAGGCAGTTACTACCTATAGTGTAGTCACTCATGGGGGTGACAGGTTATTCCATTACTTCAGTTTCTGATTGACTTCAATGGATGAAAACCAGTCTTATTTCTAAAACTCGATAGTTTCAAGGACCCTCATTCAAACATGTTGGCTATAATATTTCTTTTGTAAACTATTTTAATATTACATTATTTATTACATTTTAATTTGAATGTTTTTTTTCCAGCCACCAAATTCTATGTCCAAACGACAACATCAAAACCAGGTAACTGAAATATTTTGCATTCTGATTTCTAAATATCATTGTTGATCTGGAAGTATGTAACAAAAATACTTTTGAGGCGGTGATGTTAAATCGTCGGGGAAGGATTGCGGTGATAGCAAAATGAAAACACGAATTTTGAGACACGGGGACTTTGTACATCAATTCATCTTTTAGTCGGCCGCTCATGAAAAAGAATGACGGTGACAAATTGACAAATGATAAAAATAATGGCTAGAAAAGACGAATCCTGAAAAAAAGACGAATCCTGAAGTTGGCGTCGAAGTAGGATTCCCGATAAAGAAAGGAAACGTTTAAATACAATAAAAAGTTAAGACTTAATTGCAGAGATTCTGGAGTTCTGAAATGACGAATTGTTATTACGTCACACGTCATTTTCTAATCGTATTTTCATAGATATTTAAGATTAAACATTTACAGTACACTGCCCTTTTTGGAAATCTTCATAACCGTTCTTCCAGATTAGTCATTTTAGTTATTAATCATTTTATTTCCATTCCCGGATTCAGGTCATTTATTTAGGTCATTTATTTAGGTCATTTATTTAGGTCAAATATCGACCAAAACTTTGAGAGTTAGCATTTAACAATTATTTTTTATATGTGTACATATGTAAAAAAATTAGATGCCAAGATGGTTCTTTGAATATGTTTTTTTTTTTTAATTAGTTGATGTGTGGGCGCGCAATAAAGTTCTTTGGAAATCATAAGTGGAATTGTTTTTTGAACTACGCTAAATTTCAAATCCAACGGACATCAATGACCTCAGTGCGAGATGTACTAATTTCTTGGACGTGGCACTTCACAGAGAATATGAGGTACTGCAGGTGAAATCAAACATTTTGCGTTTTCTAAAGAGCGTTATTGTAATCCCACAAGACATCTTAATAGAAAAAATAAAAATATACATAGAATATTTTTGTCATCCAATTTTTGTATAATATAAGGATATATATATATATATATATATATATATATATATATATATATAAAAGTGAACATTGAAGTCAACACTTAGAAGTGGCAGTCTGTTTCATGCTAGACGCAATCGTCAGGCAACGAGTGCTGTTTTTTTTCTCGGCTATTTATATATACGAGTCAGTGGTGCATTGTGGGTAGTCTATTTTTTAGCAGTCGTGGCCTGACCATTGCGTCTAACATGAAACAGACTGTCGCCTCTAAATGTTGACTTCAATTTTCACTTTTATATTTACGCACGCTCTATCTCTGATATTGAGCCCTTTATCCCATAAATATAACACACCTTAAGACTATATTTCTTCATATATATATATATTAGGCATTTCACCCCAAGCAAGACGGTAGTGCCACTAGCACGCAAGGGGTTACAGAGAGTGGGAGCAAGAGTAAAGAGGGGTGGTAGAGGAAAGGATGAAGAGAAGGACGGGGAATTAGATCAAAGCATTTGGGATGTCGATTGACATTGCATTTCACTATTTGGAGATTATAGCTATCAGGGAAGCAAGTAAGAGGAAGGGAGTACCACAGACAGGAAGTACGAGACATGATGCTTTTGGTGTAGAAGAGACGGCTACATTTAACCGTTTTGACAGTGAAAAGGTGGGACTGAGATGCCAACCTAGTGGTACGTTTAAATTCCTGAAGATGGGGTACCAGTGAAAGTAGCTCGTCAGAGCAGTTATCGTGAAAGTATTTGTAGAAAAGACAAATTGAAGCGACGGCAGGTCTGTGAGAGAGCGATTATATATATATATATATATATATATATATATATATATATATATATATAGAGAGAGAGAGAGAGAGAGAGAGAGAGAGAGAGAGAGAGATAACGTATTATGTATTTGAAATCTCTGATTAATGTTAGTTTTGAGAATTTTAAGTTTGATATCTGGTAATAATTCAATAAATTTGTCTGACCATCTGACACGGTCAAGTAAAACAAATCCATTGGACAGTCAATGATTTATTGAATATATATATATGTCTATATCATTCAATGAAACACGTTCGAATGGAGATATTCTGTCTAAAATTTAGACAACATATATTTATTCAAACCTGTTTCATTAAATTTTTTGTCTATTTAATCTTCTACTGATTCTTTCCAGTTTTCTAATCAGTTTCTTGATCATCAAGGAAGGCGCCGTAGTTTTTTCTAACTCAAGTACTTTCGATCTTTTCGAAGATCTTCTTCAGGGGTAAATTACAAAGACTAACCTATTGTAACTGCGATAAAGATGAAACTTTAAGAAAGCGGAGAGTATCATTATCATTGGGTAGAATTGGTTTCATATATATATATATATATATATATATATATATATATATATATATAAACAATAAAAAATATTAAAAATTAAAATCTTTAAACACACTGGGTTGTAGATTAATATTCTTTGTTTTTTTTTATTATTATTTCATTTAGATTCCTCGACTAGTTTTCAGCCAACATGGCCATCATCGGGAGGAGAAATATTTCTGCTTGCTGGTAGCAGTAAACTACAGAAAATATATATATATATATATATATATATATATATATATATATATATATATATATATATATATATATATATATATATATATATATATATATATATATATATATATATATATATATAAATTTACTAATTTAAAAATATGGTTCCATCGCTACACAGGAATTACCATATTTCAAAAACAAAAACTAAAAATTTCAAATTCAATTATAGAATTAAATTAAAGTCCCTAGTCCTGTTTCATTTTCAAGCGAATTTTGGAATAACTTATTTTGAAATTTACTGAGTTTTATAAGCACATACATTCATAATATTACTTTCTAAGGATATGGAGAAATCCAATCAATTTGTCAAGGGGTAGTAGGGTATTCATTTTCACTGACAACTATTGTATCAAAATATGATTTACTTTCGAAAAGAGGTTAAGGTAAGGTAGGGTAGGGGTGCCTCTTTCAATGAATGATGACATCCGTTCAATGCATGTCATCTAGTCTTTATCAACGACAAAAAGGTTTTCGGCACTTTTGTTTCACCGTTAAATTTTTACTTGTATACATGAAGATTTTTTCTAAAAGGGCTGTTTGTATATGAATACGTCGTATTGAACTACAATTTTAAAATATTATTCTTAATTTTAATTACTAATAGACTATACTTCTTTTAAAATAAATAAATGCAATAGAATTACTTAAATTATTTAAAAATTATTATTAGATATCAAATACAAATATGTATATTTTATTTATCAGTTTTTTTTTTAAACATTAAGGAAAAGTTTTGACAGTGTCGGCAAAGAATAGCTATTTCATTTCTTTGATTAAGTACATTTTTATTTTTCATAAACCAATAATATATAGTTTCTCATGTATGCACAAAGGACATGTGCATCGAAAGCAAATACTGAATTTCCTAATAAAAAGGCCGTAAAATCAGAAAAAAAAACGTCCCTAGCTAAAGATCCCCTTGTCTAATTTTAATGAAATTTCGCACATTCGGTAGGGGTTCATGACACAATATGCTTCTAAGTTGATTGGCGTCATCAAAACTGTTTCGATTTGAGGTCATGAATTAACATGTTCTCTCATCTTCAATGTCTACTGGTTCGATAATATTTTGCCACCATTTTCTGTCCTCTGTCAGTTTGTAGATTCGTTGCAGATCTTCCTTGATTGTAAATTTCTCCAAAGAAAAAGTGGGATCTTTCTGCCTTTTTCTTTTAATATCTCGGTTCACCGTTGTGACTATGGTGGTTTTTGGATAACCTCTGAACATTTTTAAGGTCAGTTTTTTTCAAAGTAAAACTCAATGGCTTTGTTGGATGGACATTCTGGATCCATTCTCTTTGTTGACATTCGTATGTTATTTCTAGAACTGCGAGCTGTATTACAAACTCACGGTCTAATACTTTTCAATATCGATGTACATTATTCCTTCATTTACTGTTGACAACAAACCCGTTTCCATAATGTGTGCCTTCTGTCTCTAAACATATCAGCTGGCGTTTGTTTTTGCCGATGTTACTGTTAAGACCACGTCCAATTTTTCATTTTTTGAATATTGTCTTTCTCAGTATGCAACGTAAGTAATTATTGCGTAACTGTAACTAGAGCAACCATTACCTGCTCCATCAATCGACGTAATATGTACCTTTTAAGTTTTATGTTGTGACTAAGCAAACATACATGCAAGATTAGTGTTTTAGTAGATATATAGATATCCGCTTCATTCATAAAAATCGTCCTGATCCAAATTAGATTAATTTTACAATTTTAATAGGCATCAACATTTGTGAAAAGAAACAAGCCATGACCTTTCCCGCATCACCCGGCAAATTAGTATGGCGTATCTATCGGGAAAGACTTTATTGCTTGGTCCCAGACATGGTAGACCGAGAAAAAGAAAGCGAATTTATCAACAGTATTTTTGACCTGTTTTCATGGAAATTAATCTTTAATTTCATTCCTTCGGCTACCACCGCCACTGAGTTCAAATTCCGAATACATGCCATCTTCACACGAACACCGAAATAATTTCTTTACACCTACAAATAAAAAAAAAATAAAAATAAACACACCCAGAGAACTGACACACATATTTTTATGGCGCTGGGAATCATTGATGAGAATTTGTATCATGAAATGAATATTTTAATTGAGAAAAAATATAATTAATGCGTGAAATACAAATGAATGCAAATGCTATGGGATTATGCAAAAGCAATTAATTTGCAAAACGTCATTGATTCCTACAAAATGATTAATTTAAACAAACGGGTAATCCCTTTCCAATGAAAAACAAGTTTTCATATGTCAATTCAGCAAAGTTTAACTTGGGATCAAAGAAGAAAAATTACGTTAAAAAGACGTTTTTAACTTCATACTGTTGTTACTGTACACGTCACAAGCAATTTTTTATTGCTTAGAAAAACTATTTTTAGAATTTTATTACGACTATGACATATAAAAGTGATTTTATATATTTTTTCTCGAGAACGGACAAT